TTTTTTTATTAAGTTTTTTGGTACTCTATCTTCAAAGTATTGCACGTGTTTTTTCTTTATTATAACCATCTGTAATGTTTAAACAAATAGAGAAGAGGCTAAGACCTCTTTGCCTAAATAATATGGCTGCACCTCAATTGCGGACGAGGCCCAAAAATAGTGTAATAAAATGTCTCAGTTGCGGACAGGGTCTTGACCATAGTAGTCTCAATTGCGGACGGGGTCAATTCGAAAATAGTCAGGTACCAAAACAGAGTGAGGAATTAGCCTTGCCTACAAAATTGTAGAAATTGGCAAGTAATCTTCGAACCAATAAGCATTACTTATTTTACCTACTTCTCCCTACTTTTAGATTTTTGTACATAGTAGGCGGAGATGACATTTAAGACAATGATCGCAACCTGGATGGACCCTGTCTGCAACTGAGACGGTTTATTGCTTTTCGTCCGCAACTGAGAAACAGCGAATAAAATATTTTAGTTTAAGGTCTTTAGTCAGTTCTGTACGACTATCTGTAATGTAAGGACGTTTTCTCTAAATGCACTCCGTGATAATAATAAAGAACTAAGTTATAAATTTTTAAATAGAAATTCAACTTGTACTTGATTATTTCACAAATACCCATCCTAACTTCCAATATTGCTCAAAAAAATTAACTGACACATTACAATTAGTTGTAACGTCCGTCTATTTTTTATTAATTTTGAGAAGTAATTAACAATTATATTCCCACATTAAATTATTTTAATAATTATTCTCTCATTATTTAAATATTTCTTGTGTTTAATTATTTTGTAATATTCTTTAAATTGAAAAAATTTCTCTCAACATACTAACTATATCCTTAACGTTAAATTCGTAATATTACCAATAATTTATGATCATGGTCATTTTAATTTAATGAAGTATCCTACAAAAATTATGAAAGAAGCAATAAAACAATTAATGTTACTTTGAGAAGTTTTACCAACAAGTAATAAATCATTTGTATCTCATATATGCAATAGAACTTAAATATTTGTAACAATGAAAATAAATTTATAATCAATACCTACTGTAATACCTTTTTGAACAAGCACACATGTTGAAAGTGACCATCATATGGCACCACCTTCCATCATGAAGGAGCTAAGCCAACCAGGCTTCTGTATTTTATAGGAAATTCAATATTGAGGATGAGATTAAATAGAACTCAAATTAACCAATCGTAGAATAGGAACAGAAAACTAGTTTATCATAAATCGTATAAGTAAAATTTAACTTTAATGAATTACTTCATGATGATAAAATTGTATGTGATAGTACCATTCGATGGAACTTCTTTGAAATCTTCATTATTGATCATTTTGTCGATAAAGTTGCTTTTCATTGATAAAAACAAATTTTCAGCTGATAAAGTAGGCCTCTTTGACAGAGCAATAGTATTCAAATAATTATAATTTTTTATTTTCATAAATTGTCACAGTAGTAATTGTCAATTAATGACAAAAAGTTCTATTACTTATTTCTATTCAATGCTACGATTATTGTCAAAATTTAAGATAAATATGATCATCATAAATGATTCCAGTTATAATCGGTATTTATTAGTCGTATTTTTAATATTTAAAAAATATGTTTAAGTGAATTATATAATATACGGTTGATTTATTATAAATGACTGCGTAAATATCTTTGGATAAAATTTAATATCAACAGTTTTATTAAAAATAAACAACAGAAAATGATGTAAGAGATAAAGTAATGTAGCAGCAATCTTATAGCAGAGCTTTTGAAGCAAGAGAAAGAGCGATTTTTCACAGGGCGAGAAATAGTAGTTTCTCTTATCTCTGGCCACCCGCTGCATTTCTCTTCTTACGATTACGCTTTTGCGGGGAAATTCAGCTAAACGAAAATCTTGATTTACGTTTTTTTTTCAGTTATAACAAATGACTTTATTTTTTCACACTTTTGAGGAATAATTCTGTCACTATGAAAAACAGAAGTAATAAATAATTTACAAGATGATTGTTGTTCTTTTATAATATAATTTATCTTATGATATATTCTCTTAAAAGTATACGCATTTACAACCACTCGAGATATTTAGCAAGATTATTTTATCTTACTCTCTATTATATGTTATCAATATTATTACAATATTATTTTATTTAATAATCTTTACTAGCTCCACTTCTTTGGCTTGTGGATTTTTGTTGACTGATCGTACGCATGATGAATTAATAATAACTGATATTATTATTAATCATATAATTACTTATGTATTATAGCATAAATCTGTACACGTGCGTTTATCTTTTTTTATTATTTACATTGTATGGAATCTCACAAAAGTGTCCCACGAGAGTGGCAATAAAATTTTTCAATATTCCATTTTATGGAGCTTTTACGAAAAAAATATTCAAGTAGGTATTCTTTTTATTATGAATGTGCAAGTAAATGAAAAGAATAAAAAAAAAAAAAATACTATGGCAGACGAGGATTGCAACTCTCGCGAGAACGCAGATGGGAGTATAATATATAAGCTTCTTTTATTTTATTCTCGTTCTTAGAGACTGAAATGTACGCGGGGTAAAACGCGTGTTGCTCTTGGCGTAGCAACGGAACGACACCTGCGAGTCGGCTGTTCGAAAGCGGCGGCTTGAGACCAACGACAAAGCGAAACGACAAAGTAAGCGCGAGTGTGCACGAGCACGACAAAAAGAAATGATGGATAATAAATTTTTCCATCTGCGCACACGAGAAATGAAGGAGAATGCGATTGGAAGAAATTATACGCTCGTAGGCGGCCAATTGACCGACTGTGCAGAAAAATTTATACGCATCGTTAGTTGAAACGACACGTGACAAGAACACCGACAATTTATCATCAATAGTTCGCACTCGTCTCGTCATCGTAGCTTCGTTCGCTTGTTATCGATCTCACTATCTCTAGTCTAACCGGTTGACTACTTGCCGCATTACTCTCATTTCGATTTTTATCAAAATATCATACATACATATATGTACACACACATGTCGGGGTGAATTTTATAAAGAGTAGTGTTAGAGAGATCAATACATTCATAAAGTAACAAAATAAAAATATTCACTCCACAGGAAAAGGAGAAGACGTTAAATAAATGCGTGTAACCAAGTACTTTATGTGGCAGTATTATCTTTCATTAACAGTATTCTAATGATAATTGTGAATAATGATATTGTCATGTGAAATCACGCCAATATTGTCTTCTCCTTTTTCTTTCTTTTTTCACACTCCAATGCATACTGTATATAATAATATTAATAATAATAATAATAATAATTTCAATAACCGTAATATAATAATAATATCAATGATAACAATAACACATAATGTCTCTAAACCATAAATGAACATAAATAATAAACGTAATGCGCATATAGTGTGTGAGCATCATTGGCGAGAATATAATGGTATCGGTGATAATAGAATTCTAGAATTTAACTATTTGCTTGTATTTCGTTTCTGATGATACGTATTTTCAACGATTCAGAGGTATGAGGTTAACAAAGTTGTGGCTACAGCTAGGTTTGATGTTTGCTTTAAAAATCAACGGGTTATGAAGCAGAATTCCGTGCATCACTTGATGCTTCTGTTCTTGTTTCGTTTGAACGCGGTGGAGATTTAATTATTCACGTGTAATTACTTCAACGCTTCCGCGCACACCCATCATCGTCGGAACTTGTTCTCTTCCGCTTCATACCAATTCTCTTCACAATCTTGCACTATAACCATGGCTGTTTCTCGTTGCCCATCTAACAACTTCTTCATAAGGGTTGCAAATAGATTATGTAAAGCGATACCTTTAAGTTTCATCAGGGGTTAAACATATATACCCTCGTCGGTACTAATTGACTAGCATCGTTCATCACTCTAATTTTATCGCTCATTCTCACATACTCTTCTCACTCGTTATATTCTTGCTTTTCATATTGTTCGATCGTGCGATAGTACCTTACAGTTTCACCATACAATATTTTCTCCAACTCGAGTTACGCACGAATGAAAACATTTCGATATTTTTCTATTCTCACTGGAATTACATTCAAGACTTTTGTGCCATTTTTGTTTTTCATTTTTCTCTTCATTCTGTGCGTGATTCGAATTTGGATTATTTAACAAAAAATTGTACTCTACTTCCTTTTTTTCTAAACTGATATTATGAAAATCTGTTTATATTATAAATCGGAATGTCTACCACGGTTATTACATTTATCACGTGACTTTTTTTGCTTATTAATTGACTATTAAACTCACAAACAACAGACTTTATTTTAAAGTCGTTTGACAATTTTCACATAGTACTTGTTATAACGAAATAAAGACAATTCTTGACTCGTTTAATTCACTCTCATGACTTTTACAAATAAATATTCATAGTATTAAATTAAATATAAACGAGGACAGAATAACTTATAACATATAATACAAAGACAAAACAATATATTTATATTTATACTTTAACATAAAAAAAACTATTAAATGCCCACGTATATTTAGCGTCCGTGTATGCTGACTTGACCAATAAGAGAATGAAATATTTCTGAGGGGACGAACAGAGTGGAATAATTGGAAAAGTTAAATTTGGAAAATAATTTGATGTACAATCATTATTATTTCGAGAGTCGCATAACTGTTGAACTCTGGGATAATATTTAGCCATTGTGCACAGTCGGTGTCCGTTAATAATGCCGTTACAAATGTCGTCGAGCTCGACTGCAAGCGGGCCGCCACGCGACGATGATTCGCCGGGAAGTTACATAACGATAAAGGAACAAGGACGTCCCGATTACTTCGCCCCCACGTCATTTTCTATTCTCCAATTCGCTATACATTTTATTTACAAGTGTGCATACGAGTCATGTGAAATAAATAGGTAGTGTGTTTACAATCAGCAGTGAAACGAATAATTTTTCCTCTTTCTCTCATTGAAAGATAGAAATGTGTACTGAACTACATTTATACAAGTACGAAAACAAATGCAGTAGAACGTATGTAGATGAGTAACGATTGTTACTTGACAATTTTTCATATATCATTCCTTCATGCCAATTAAATTAATTCAAAAGATATTCAGTCTTGTGTTATCGAGCGGTGTATATTCAAGGGACCAAAACCACCTGTCCTCTAAGAGTTCCTTTGCCTTTAGTGATTCTCCTCCAGTCCGAACTTGTATATGCACTCTAGAAAAATAAGTCGAGCGAGGTAAACGACAGATTCGAAGCGAATGGAAAAGGAATTGGGTTCGGCCTTCGATTCACACATATATATTCTTATCTCTGCACCATACGTACGTTCCTCGCTATTCTTCTTGCTCTTGTAGATTTATTCACTTCCCAGTCAAGAAAAGTCTTTTCTTCTTTTTCCTCAAGGATGTTCCTGACGTCTGGTGCAATGAGACTCTATTTCGATCAACCCACTATACATGTTTTTCACCTGAATCGTTGTTAGAAAAGAAATGCTTGTCAGTCAACTGGTCCAGCCTGCAGACTATCCAACAACTCTTTTTTTCTTCATCATTACTTGCTTTTCACGCTCGACAATCTTTTCATCCTTTAATTGATTTTCTTGTCTCCTTGGATTAGTGTCTTTGGTACGTTATTCCCTGGCCTCTTCATATCACCTTTCTCCACATTTTTCGCTATTTGGCATCATCCTCGTGCCTTTAGTAATTTCCAAGACCTCGGAGGTAATCAATGACGACGTGGAAATAAGATCCTGTAGAGCAGCTTCGCGTTACGTGTTCCTAGGTACACCATACGCGAAGCTGACCTCACGTCATGGATAGTCTGGATGCATGAGGTTGTACATGATCGCGAAGATGGTGCAAGCAGCATAGACACCCAGGGCAACCCACCAGAGTAACTGTTCATGCAATCGTTGCTCAAAGTTCTTGAGCACGAGTAGACCAATGGTGAGTCCGGCCAGAGCCCCCGTCAGGTGTGCCACGTACGAGACAGGTGGGCCCATTTGCTCAGCCGCGTACCTGTCGTAGATAGCGAAACCCACGTCTGCACTGGCTGCAACATAATAAGGACAAACGATCATTAGTCTCATTTTCACAAGATTTATCTTGCAATTTAAAGTCGCACAGAAGAACGAGGAAGGTAAAGGAATGCAGTAACGATAATGAATCGAGGATAGAAGAGAAAAGGTAGTGGTGGTATAGAAGAAGGGGATTTGGCTTCAAACAAATCGGCTCGATCAGGCGATATATAAAGTAATATAAACCCCTCGCGAATTATAGGGCTCGATAATCGTTCGCCGGAGACTCCAACCTACTTGCTACTGCCGTAGGGACTGAACCAGCAAGACAAATGCCCGGGAAAATCGAAGATAGCGCGAGCACCACCACCACTACTATCAGACCTCGCTTGCCATTACGTCTATTCCTGGGTTCTTCGCGTGGGAGGATTAAGCTACGCTCGAAATAACACCTAGACCAACACCACCCTAATTACTCGCAAGGTAGATAAGTCTAGTGCTCATGAAAATTTCCACAGGGTTTCTTTTTATCACGACCTATTTTGCAGGACATCCAAGCCTGCATGTCTATAAATTATTACAGTTGATGAGCTTTCGTTATATCTATACTCATGAAGTGCACAAACAGTTGAAGAGTCTTAAAGTATCAAGAACTGACAAGTTTGCGAGCTCATATATAGTTCAACATCAATCGATAGAACATTTCAGTCAATATTCATGGAAAATGAAGGATCAGTTTGTGTATAAAGATGAAAGTGTCTAGGTTATAATGATAGTAGAGAGAACGACAGATCATGATCCTGAAAAAACACCTCTTACTTTTTCGAATTTTTTTGTTTTTTCTTTTTACTGATCTATCGACCCTGCAGAGCCTTTGCTTGGTTTCATGCACCAAGATCATATCTTTTTCCATTACAAACCGGACATCGTGCGCAGTGACGCGGCTCGCGATTTATACCCCTACCTGCCCTATTTCCGGTCTCCAACATCTCTCCCCCTTTTCTCTCCGCTCATCCAATGCCATTTCACTTGTATCGTTTGACATCTAAAATACTCAGCCAACCGGAGTAAAACGTCTGATCGATTTTTATATTCCACTGCGGCGCCTAGACTCGACGCCTCTTCGATCAGGTGACGCTGCAAATTACCCCCTACGGTCTTATCTTTTAATTAAAAAAATTTTACGCAAAAAATCAGCTTCCCGAATTGATTGGAATTCGAATAAACATTGACTTTAATCGAAATCATGCAAGTAGAGATGAAAAAAAAATAATAAATAAATGAAATAGGATTGAACATTTCAAATTGATGTTGACGTCAAAAATGACATTGAACAATCAATTATTTTTCTTTTTCTATTTATATATTTATTTGATTTATAACAAAATAGATATGCTAAAAAAAGATCAAGTTGTTTTTTGTACATAAATTAAGTAGAAATAAAATGACAATAATTGATCATTTCAAAGAGATTAAAGAAAACAAATTAATAAATGTCTTGGAAATTTTGGATTAGTTGTTGTTTGAATTTTCTCGACAGGTAAGAAATTAATGGACTGTAGTATGAAAACAGAAAGGTATATTGGATTAGTGGTTAATAATAATTGTAAAATTAATCTTAGAACTCAACGAAACTATCAGGAAATTGTAGGCAGGAACTGATGGTAAACTTCTTCGTGAAATGAGAGTAAAGGGATGGACCATAGCAAGGCTTGTTTACCTAGTTGGTGGTTAGGTGAGTTTCGACAACTCGGCGCGCCCGATTGCAAGGGATGCAAAAGTTTGGCGAATCTGTATAGAGATATGAGAGTGCTGGTGAGACCTATAAGAAAACAACTAATTTTGTCCTTCTCTTTCCGCTCAAAGAGTTACTGGTAACACGTGACTCTCCATACCCAATACAACATTGCACAGAAGTTTACTTCTTCTTGCTGCATATAATTATTACAATTAACCTAAAGTAACTTACCAATAGTAAATATTCCAATCAGCCGAACGATTCCAAACTCCATATTATTGTAATTCAACAAGACATTTGCAAGATGGGCTGCTAAAAGTGCATAAACTCCTCCACTTGCACCAACTAGATAGACATCCGTGTCAAAAACTGACGTGCCTAGTGAACCTGTAACAAAACAAATTTCAAAGTCCAATTAGACATTTCGTTGAGTTTCTCCCTCAGGTATTTAATTTTCAGTTTGTCTGTCAGTTTGGAAATCTGGTAAGCGGATTCCCCGAACTCTCAGTTGAATACTATACCAAACAAGGAAATGAAGAGAAATGCCATGAAATAACATGCACTTCAATTCATGCAAATGTTGAAGGTATATACATATATATACATGTAGAAAATCTTTGCAAACATTGTAGGAGAAGTTGATCTGATAACACATCAACAGCTATGATCTTCAAAACAAAAATTTTCCAGTTAATTTTAGACTCTAAAAACCAAATACAGCTGTAGTGAACTGGAGACTTAGCTACCTTCAATAGCAGAATGCGTATATTACTTAGACATAATTTTACAGCATCATGAGTAAATACACAAGCTGAAGGATCCAAAGCACTATTATTATGTAGACAACTCTAGTAAGTAGAATCTATTGCAAAACCATAATAAGAACGAGAATAAGTATTTCCTTTCTATTATTTAACACTCTTTATTTCTCTTCTTGTCTTTTAGTTGTCTCGTAAGTGGTTCAGATGCAATAGGAGTTCATCCTTAGGTAGATGTAGTACGCAATAAGGTGGAGTAACGGCAAGAGAATGAGACTCTGTCTACTGGAGCATCGCTTATTAATGACTACGTCTCTCCTGTCCCATTCAACCGCCACGGCACTTGCTCTGACTCGCCCTCACTAACACGCGGGGTTACCCACTCTTCCGGAACGTGCAACTATCATTGGAAACTATACATTTACTATGAATACACACCACTGATGTTCTCTACTTGCTTGCTATTCTGTTGCGTTCATTATTGATTTTTACCTTTCAATTGAGTGATAAAAAAGCTATTATCATACTGGAATCATTCCTGATTTACCTCTCTTTTATTTTTAATAGATTCAGTTAAAGATTGATGAGAAGATTATTTCAACTTTGAAGATGATTATTCTTTCAATCAATGTGAAATCTGTTTACTCAGAGTGGGTTAATTTTATTTCACTGAGATAGGAATATTTTAGGATCAATTTTGATCCATTTTTAAATCTTGATGTTTATATTTTAATATTGGAGATTAATTTATTGAAAGGTGGATCAATCAGTTGTCAGCAGAGAAAGTTAAGTAATATTTATTTCAATAAATACAAAAGCTTTTATGTTTGTTGAAATATTTAAATAATCTACTAAAAGTGTTATTCATTGAAACTGACATTGTAAAGTTGACATTTAAATGAAAATAGTATTTAAAGATAAAATAAATTTAGTACATAATTTAATGAATATACAATTTATGTTGTAGAAAATTATAGTGAAAAAGTTTTTAATCATTAATGAACTTTTATTCACAACAAAATTATCCCCTTTATTATTATTTTTTTTTTCGAAATAAAGATTTGTTTTATTTTCAATAAAATATTTACAAAGGAAAATAAATGATATTTGTTTAATAATAGACTATTAAAAATAAAAATTTTCAAAGTTTACTTGATTTTTTATTATACACTTTGAAATATAACAATTTTAATTATAATTATTAAAATCATTAAAATTTCAATAGATTTTGATTAACGAGCATAAGCACAAAGTAATTGAATAAAAATTAGAAACTTTGATGCAAAAATTACAACGTTTTCCTGAATGTCAAAGGTATCAGTAGTAACAGTACTTTCAGTCATGGAAATGAGTTCTTGTCTTCATTAGTCATTAATATAGTTGAGAACTTAACCATCAAAATACGTAAAAGGAATAATGATGAAGAATGTCTCTTTGTAACATAAGATAACGGCTGACTGGAAAGATATGGGTCCCTTTTATTGGCTTACTATTTGTGGTGAATAGATGGAAATGACATTAGCGTTCACGTACGACACGCGTGCTCTGGGAAATCGAGTGATCCGCGTTGTAGGTACCAGAGTGGTATTGTGCCATTTGCACAACTATAGTGGAGGCATATAGGATGCAGAAGAGAGCAAGGGACAACGGCAAGAAGGGAGGTCTACGATTGATCCTGACATCAGTTAAATTACATCAGGGATAGCGAACTAATACACCTTCCAATAGATGTATGTAGAGCATATATATGTGAGCATATATACAGCATGACTAACGTGATAGCAAGTCACCCCAATGCACATACTCCTTTGAGAAAGTAATCGCATTGCGTATAGGGTAGAGCTAGATTGTTCCCAAGTATACACTGGGAGATATAGCCCAACAATCACGAGTCTGTTTACATACAAAACACAGAGTTAGTCTAAAATTGGAGTGTTTGTGCAATTAGATTTCATGGATCATTTCGATGATGATCAATTTTGAGATGTATTACTTTTTTAGTTTGAGCTCGGATAGAAACTGTTCTATTACCCGTATGAAGAAATTTTGTTTCCCAAATGTTCCCTAAATGTTCCCCAGTGGGGAAGTTCCTCAACGCTCCCCTCGTGGGACTACGGGGAGCAAAATTTTTTTTTTTTGAAAATTTTTTCTCTTTACTCCAAATGTACTTTTAATGTTTTATACTTGCAAAAACAATACACATAATGGAATTGATGTATGACATATTTGCGGAAAAGTGTAAGATATGAAAATGTGCATAACTTTTATGCTAATAATGCTACGGGGTTGATCGAGGGCTTAAATGAAAGATCTCGACGACAGGAAAAAAGTCGATATAATTAAAATCATAATTGTCGCGAAATTCATGCAAAAATTAGAGCAAGTTCCGGTTTTGCCCCATTTTAGGAGTGAAATAATTAATTTTCATAATGTTTGACTTGATTCCGCATTTCTACGCATCAAGACGAAGAGAATGAGTCCTCGATCATCAAAATCGGACAACTTTGATTTTTCGACCCAAAAAAATGGCAAGTGGTACCCCTTTCCATTTTTTTTGGCTAAAAAATAAAAGTTCTCCGATTTTCGAGTTTGACCACTCATTCTCTTCGTCTCGATGCGCAGAAATGCGGAATCGGGGCACCGCCCGGGAAAATTCACTTTAACACCCTTAAAAGGGGGTAAAACTGATTACACAATAAAAACTATCATCCCCTTCACTTTAAACCCTTGTAACTCATGAACGGACGGCCCAATGATCATTTTTAGGGACGTTTTAAAAACTTAAAAATCTAAGCTACGTGGCAATATCCATAGATTTACCAAGAAAAATTTATTTCACCCTTAAAATCGCTAAAATATAAAAAAAAATCACATTTTTTGGAGAGTTTGACAACTATTTTGGCAATTTTAAGGGTGAAATGATTTTTTTTTGAGGTTTTTCATGGATACGTATCTTTAGCTTAGATTCTGAAGTTTCTAAATACTCCTTAAAAATCATTATTCGATGACTTGTACAGTAGTTATAGAGGTTTAAAGTCGAAGTAAGGGTCAAAAATCATCCACTCTTCGACTTTAAACCTCTATAACTCTTGTACAAGTCATCGAATAATGATTTTTAAGGAGTATTTAGAAACTTCAGAATCTAAGCTGAAGATACGTATCCATGAAAAACCTCAAAAAAATTTATTTCACCCTTAAAATTGCCAAAATAGTTGTCAAACTCTCCCAAAAAATGTGATTTTTTTTTATATTTTAGCGATTTTAAGGGTGAAATAAATTTTTCTTGGTAAATCTATGGATATTGCCACGTAGCTTAGATTTTTAAGTTTTTAAAACGTCCCTAAAAATGATCATTGGGCCGTCCGTTCATGAGTTACAAGGGTTTAAAGTGAAGGGGATGATGATTTTTAATGTGTAATCAGTTTCACCCCTTTTTAAGGGTGTTAAAGTGAATTTTCCCGGGCGGTGCCCCGATTCCGCATTTCTGCGCATCGAGACGAAGAGAATGAGTGGTCAAACTCGAAAATCGGAGAACTTTTATTTTTTAGCCAAAAAAAATGGAAAGGGGTACCACTTGCCATTTTTTTGGGTCGAAAAATCAAAGTTGTCCGATTTTGATGATCGAGGACTCATTCTCTTCGTCTTGATGCGTAGAAATGCGGAATCAAGTCAAACATTATGAAAATTAATTATTTCACTCCTAAAATGGGGCAAAACCGGAACTTGCTCTAATTTTTGCATGAATTTCGCGACAATTATGATTTTAATTATATCGACTTTTTTCCTGTCGTCGAGATCTTTCATTTAAGCCCTCGATCAACCCTGTAGCATTATTAGCATAGAAGTTATGCACATTTTCATATCTTACACTTTTCCGCAAATATGTCATACATCAATTCCATTATGTGTATTGTTTTTGCAAGTATAAAACATTAAAAGTACATTTGGAGTAAAGAGGAAAAATTTTCAAAAAAAAAAAAATTTCGTTCCTCGTAGTCCCACGAGAAATTTTTTTTATATTGATAATTTCAATGTCATTTGCAAAAGTGCCAATAAAAAAAAACAACAATTTTCTATTTAACTTTTTTCTGATAAGATTAAACATAACTGTGTCATACAGTTCGAAGCAAAAGTTGGAAAAAATTGTAAATAATACTTGAAACAGACGTTAAAAATAATTTTATTGTTGGAGTACTCTGCATTTAACAGTTAATATTTGTAATACTCCAACCATAGAAGTATTGAGAATTTTATAAATAATTTATATGGCTGGTATATACAAAAATATTTAAAAATTCTATGATAAAATTCAAAGCATTCCTGGTACGTGTAATGTTACTAGACAAGCATGAATATAATTGAAGTGAATTTACGAAACATGTTTACATCAAACAAATAAAATTCCGCATTCTTAAAATATTTGTTTTTATGAAATTACATTGAAATATAGCGAATGAAATGTATATTTAATCTTATTCATGTAAAGGTAGCTTTTTCTTTTCATTTTTTTCCTTTTTTTCCACAAGCTACGCTCTGTACTTGATATTTAGATTAAATGCAAAAACTAATGGGTCAAGTATCCTGACTCCTTTACCCAAGAATCTATGCTTGGTAGTATAATGGTATAAT